TTCATGCAGGTACCATTTTTTCTAGTTTGTATTTTTGGTTGTGGGGACGCACTGGGGTCCCAGCGTGCATTCTAGATTGCTGGGCCCCCAGTGTGTCCCAGCACCTTATTAGGAGGAGTTGGCTACCTCCAGGTACACCTGCATGCAATTTATCGACTACATTAATATGCCCACACTTGGAGACTCGTATACATAGAGTTAGGACCACACCTTGCAGAGGTGCCTTGGCGCGGCAGTGTGGCTTCTACATATTTTTGGCCAAAAGTTTGTGCAACTAAAACCTCTGATTTTAACGCATACTGTTGACAGGGCAATTTGTTTGGTTGCAGGCTGGCTGGCAGGTGAAGCTGGGGATTTTTTGTGTTTTGTATGGAAGTTTAGCTTAGCCTGGTGAATGTGGTGAATTTTCACTTTGCAAAGAATACTCAATCATGTGCAAGAAAAATCAAAGTATTTTTCCTTGCACATGATTGGGTGATGGAAGTCAGAGGAGCTTCACCTCATTCAATAAACTAAGAAGTAACTTCCCCTGCAAAGTGCAAATTCCCTTTGCAAAGTGAACAGCCTATTTGCCTTTAGTAAATCAACCCATGCCCCTTTTCCTGTTCTGATGTCACTGTTACTGAGGCAGGAAGTGCAGAGAATCTCTCTATTGGGAAGGCAGGCAGCAATAAAATCACATTGTTAAAAGATGTGTTTTCACTGTCCCTGTTCATTGTCAATTACTGGTGGCCATTGTCACAGTGAATAGAAATCTAAAAATAGTAAATACCTTACAAAGTTATGATCCTATTACACTGTATTCCAAAACATAAGAAAAATGTCTTGGGTTCAACTTTAACTGTGGGCAAAAGTTGTATGTGTGAACAACAGCATTTTTTACGGTACAACTCTTCCTTGATGACCAGTTCTGTGGTGCACTTGGAATTTCTAAATGGTTATCTGCTTTTCAGCCATCCTAAAACAGTAAAGAGGGGAAGAATTCTGATAGCTGCACCATAGAGAAGGTCTTCAAAGAATACCTCACATCTGGGTGCAGAGATAACTACTGCTACTCTTTTTTTGTGATTGCTGTAAGGATAGGAAAGATGGACAGAATCAATGAAGACACATTACCCAATTTTCAAAATTAGGACACATGAGAAACCACTTGACGGCATTTGCCTAAACTAATTTAATGCTTATAGGAGAACTCGGGGCAGAAGTTGTTTTACCCCTTGCAGTAGGGCTACCTCCACACTACAAGGGTTAAATGCTCATTTTTGCCTAGGGTCACAAATAAAAGTTATTCTCATTTTCTAGGAATCATCGAGTCATCATATCCAATACACTCTGTATAGGATGTAAGGGTGCCGAGGGACATATAATTGCTGCAGTGGAGGAGGATGGAGGCTGGACGGAGCGCTGCCAGCTCTGAGGATTGGGTGAGTATTATCTTTTTTTTTACCCGAAGCAACAACTAGTAGTTTACCCTTGCAGTGTGGTAGGAGTTTCTTGTGACAAGCCCCTATCTGCAGGACCCCAGCACAATCATGACATTCCTCCCACAGTTGATCTAGTTAATAGTATGTTGAAAATCTCCACTGTACTGCAGTTTACAATGCAATCAAATATGAAAGTTGTCATCTAGTGTAGTGTAGCATTGCTGTGGCTGCAGAAATTGAAGATGCTGCATACTGTAGAGCTTTTTTTTATTTGAAAGGAGTTCTAAAATTGCAACATATACTATCCTAATATAACATTATCATTGTAATAGGAATACATTCCAGAGTTGTCTATGATAATGCAATCAAAGCTTTCTTGAAAAAAATCCCTTTTATGTAATGAGTACTGCCTTCTGTCTGTCCATCACTTTCAACAACTTCCTGGATTCCCAGTGTGCTTTGCATCTCTTTCCCTGCTGCTTGAAGTGATAAAATCTCAATTTCTCAAGACAACATAGCCTATAATGCATTGCATCCATCTGGCAATGGTGATGTTACATTGTTAAATGGCAGGCTTAGTAAGGAAGTGCATATTCTCAGGGCTGAATTAAATTGTGTCAGCGCATTGAGGAAGTACATCCCATGGATATCTTCAATAAGTAAGTTTACATATGGTTATCAGAATTGGGATAGAATTATGAAGGACGTGTGAAAATTAAATATGGAGATACATATTTTTTGTTCCTTTTTGACGATGGATACCTTTTAATATCAGTGCACTAGTTGGGAAACAAGGCACACACATTTTTAATGCATTTACTGTGTCAATTCACAGTTTTCAAATCTGTCCCTCCATTTAATTACTTATATTGCATACCGTAAATATTATAAATATTTAATGTGACAACAATACACAAAATGATTATTTAATCTTTTTTATTAAACATGTTTATTTATGTATTACAGAACAATGCTGGTTTAAAAAATAGGTCATCTAAGCAACCAGCTACAAATATGCATAAACCTATGTGAGCACACTCTTAAAATGATACATGATGTGCACTACAGCTTGTATTACAATGTTCCAAAGTAGCTCAGCAACTAGCAGGGTATGAACAGTGGCATTCCATGTCCGTTACTCAGCTGCTATCATTCCAGCAGGCTAGGGCTCCTGAATTATCGCATTATGAATTAATCTATTAAATGAACATGTGTATTCACATATTGTTTGCGTGCTTACTATTAAAACCTTACTCCAGTCAAAACACTTTTTTTGGACAACATTGGTTACGGTAAGTTTTTGTAACAGAGACAAAATTGGCAAAATGTAGAACTTCTGTCAGATTGTCACTGCTTCCTGTGTCCACATATGAGAGATCCACCACACTTCCTTGTCCCGTGTTAGCGATTGTGTTAATGGCCATATGCAGCATACTTTCCAGTGCATTTAGCCTGCATTTCTTTTCAAAATGCTTCCAAGATCATTCTGAGATCATTCATGGGTACATTTGACCTTCCCCTAAGCTGTGCCAGCTGGATTCAAGCTCCTTTTGTTTTCCCATTGACTTCACCACTCAACTGAACATAAAGTCAGGGTAGCAGACAGCAAACATCTTAAATAGGTTCTAACCCTTCTGCGCTCTTTTTTGCTGTTTGTGTCTCAGTTCCTGATCCAAGAAAATAATATTTGTCTGGAGTTTGGCTTTTAAAAGGAAAGAAACAGTGCAGCAACCTTCAGTCACACCATCAATGTTTATAGAACAAAGGCTCTAAGTAGCTAATACTCTGGTTCATTGTAACTTCCCCTCTGTTTTGTTTAGTGTTGGTGTTTAATGGTATTATGTGCAAAAGGAAGTGCAGATTAGGTCGTAGGCTAAAAAGCAGTTTAGTTTATATACAGTAAATTGATCTATTGCCAGAATTTTCAGAAATTCATGTAAATTCTGCATGTGGTTATTAGAATTTATGACCCCAGCGAAGGACACTTAAAGTGTAATTCCACTTCTGTGGCCAAATTGGGATAATACCTATTTTATATTTTTTATATGTTCCCATTTAACTTATTGAAATCTGCCAGCACAGTAGACACAGGGTTAATTCTTTCTCCCTTTTTTTTTATCACTTGTACACCAGATAAGCAGGACTGTCTATCCACTGGCAGAACTACCAGGGTCGCAGCGGTCGCAATTGCGAACGGGCCCTGGCATTCCGCCTGTTGGACCAAGAGAACAAGCAGAGGGCCCGAAGCTTCCTCATGCTGTCCCCCCCAGATAGTGCTGCTTCCTCCCCCTGCCACTCTGCAATCACGGGCGGCTATGCGGGGATGGAGAGGCTGTGTCTGTCACTTGTCTGGCTTGAGCCGCTACGGACACAGCAGGCACCGCCAGGCAGCACATTCTCTCCCCTCTCCACTCAGCCCCGCCCCCTGTCCGCCAAAGATAAAGAAGCTTTGCTGCTGCAGGAGTCAGGTAAGACCGGTGTGGGAAGAGGGGGCCCGCGGGAGGGCGGTGCTGTGGGAAGAAGCTGTTGTTATTATTTACATTAGAATGTATTGCTGGGGCTTGTAGTCCTGCATAGCTGCTGCTATTCTGCACTGCTGTATAATGATTATACAGCAGTGCAGAATAGCACCAACTATGCAGAACTACAAGTCCCAGCAATACATTATATTATGAAGTAGGGATGCACCAGTGCCAATACTGAACATTTTCATGAGTGCTCGTGAAAGTGCCCCGATACTACGCGCAGGCGAAATTACCTGCCATAAATCTAGGGTTGCACAGATACCAAGTACAGTACTCGGTACAAGTATGAGTACATGTACCGATACTTTTGAGCTCCAAGACTACACTAGAGAAAAATTCAAAAATTAGGAGGCAGCCGTCATTTGTAAGGAGCACACGGAGCTCTTGGGATTTGCACATCTCTGTTTTTAATGTACGATTTTGTTTTTATACATATAAATAAAGTGATCCACAGATACCAGTTTTACGAGTACGAGTACTGGTACTTGCCGAGTACTTACAAGTACGAGTACTGATACATTTTTGTTTATTGTCATGTGACAGTTTTTCTAAAACAATACAGACTAATTATTTCAGGACAGTGGTGGAGCACCAGAGCCAGGTCCCAGCTGCAACCACTGCAACTCTGGTAGTTCTCATGAAAATGCCAAGTATCGGCACTGGTACTCGAAAAGTATCTGTGCATCCCTACATAAATCTATGATGTCAGACCGTGGGAAAATGGAATTTTGATTGGATGCTTTGGGTTACTACTTTTAAGAATAAGAACTCTTTTTAAAATGCAGACAACTGTGCCATTCTGTAGAATTATCAGCCCAAAGGTCTACACTGTGGCTTGCACAAGATAAGAAGGGCTCAGACTTAACACTGGGGCCCAGATGAAATTAGATATGCTCATGCCGATAACATAAGACAGTATGCTCAACAACAAATTAAAATGTTATTATCTTCGAATAAAGTGTGAAAACCTTTACGTATTTTTAATGTATGTTAATGAATGGCTTTTTATATTAACCTCTATTATATGACTTTTTAAAGGAGCCGCAGTGAGGTTACTGGTGTCTTCTCAATACCCCTTTAAGCCATTTATGTAATCTGGATACTTTGGTGTAGACCCCATACTTGCCTTGCTGTGCACAGCCCTCTCCCCAGCTAACGATTCCAGTCACAAAGTATGTGTCTTTGTAGGGTGTGACGTGCGGGCCCCCGCTGTCTCCCTGACACGCATCTTTCACCTCCTTGTCGTAGCCAGCACAGAACATGTTTTCTGTGATTTTGAAATTACTAGACTCTTTGCAAATCTGCCTGTTAACGTAAGGAACATTGAGCATCTGAAGCTTTGTAGCCTGAACCCCTCGTTCAAAAAGTCGTCCAAATCCGCTCACCATTGCCTGCCTCTCGTTCATCAGAACTTCATCTGCAAAGTCCGGATCGGGAATGCAGGCCGGAATGACATTATCGGTGAAGTTAATGGCTTCTTTAAGCTTCACTACAGCAATATCAAAATCATAGGTGGCTCGAACAAACTTCGGATGAAAAATAAACTTGTCAACCTTGTGGGTAGATTCAGTGCCATCATTCTTTTGTGTGTTAACCTCTCCTGTAAAAATACACAAAGTGGAATTCTCAACCTAAGAAACCATCTAGGAAAAGGGGAACGTACAGTAAATGTAATCAGAAACTCATCCACCTAGCCAACTGCTCAGTATCTGCAACCCTTCTCTGCCAATCCCTCCACTGGTTTCAAGTCACCCAAAGAATAACATTTAAAGTATAAACCACCACTTACAGAACAATCCACAACTCTGCCCCCCGCTATATTTCCATATTTGTTTAAAGTATCCCCCTAACCGCCCCCTCTGCTCCTCCCAAGACCTCCTACTCTCTAGCTCCCTCATCAACTCCTCCCATGCTCGCCTTCAGGACTTTTCTAGAGTCTCTCCCATCCTCTGGATTTTCCTACCCCAATCTGTCTGGCTGTCTCCTACTCTGTCTATAAGAGATCCCTTAAAACTCATCTCTTCAGGGAAGCCTATCCCGCCTCAACCTAACCACTCAACTATCACTTTCTAAAACAACTTATTCCCACACAGCTACCACCTCTTGTATCACTTGCCCCTCCCTTTTAGGTTGCAAGCTCTCATGAGTATGGCCCTCCTAACCATCTTGTTTTGAGTTGTATTGTAACTGTAATGTCTTCCTTATTTGTAAAGTGTTGCAAACTGAACTGTTGGCGCTATATAAAATCTGTATAATAATAAAACAACAATTAAGGAATCACATATAGGAGCTGTTTTATAAAGGGTGCGCCCAAGGTATAACTGGGCAAATGACGCTTACACAACATTACTGCTGCTAGATGGAGCTGAGGAACATAGGAAATTCCTATGCTCTTCATTCCATCTAGCAGCAGTAACGCCATGCAAATGTCTATATGCTGGGCAAAGCCTTTATAAAGCAGCTCATTTTTTATATATACAGGACAAATAATAATACACTCTTTACAAATAGCTCCACCTAAACTTTATATAAAGCTGGACTGCAGGCAAAACTCTAAATACACAGATGAAATACATATAAGGCAGCTATTTTACCTACCAAATTATTTGTCTATTTAGTCTGAGAATTACACAATCCCATCAGACAAACACCACTTTTTCTGTTTCAGTCAAGAAAAACCATCTCCCCACTTCCATCCTGCTGTTCGGACAATGTATGATCAGCAGCTGACTGATAAGGTTGTCACTATCATCTTGGTCCTTGTCAGCACATTTGCATGCAGAAATCCTGATTGCAGTGGAGGATTAGGCTGGGGGGCAGTCTTAATAAGATGTTTGGTTGGTGGACCTTAGTGGAGATACTTTACTTTTCATACATCAACCAGAGCAGGACCCACAGTTAGTGACATTATATAGCTATTTGCTTCCCATTTAGACCTGTAATCACAGCATCTGGCAAAAGCAAGTCATAAAAAAGGTTACTTGGAAGTATTTACTCCCCCAGGGCCAAAAACCTTCCAGTCCTCCACTGCCTGATTGACTTCTAGCCTGAGTGCTGCTGTATAGCACATTGCAAGAGGCTTACACCAAGTCAAATTCAGGTATTTACACTAGCTGCATTAAAAAATACATCTACAGGGTTATTCACTAAAGGGTGAAGAGTTTGGAGAAGGAAGGAGAAGTGAATCATCTAGGCCAAAATTGCTGATTTGGAAAAATTCTCCAATTCAGCTCACTTTCCAGTTCAGCTATATTGTCCTAGATTGTTCACTTCTCCTGCCTTCTCCAAACTCTTCACCCTTTTGTGAATAACCCTGCTAATGATTTAATAAAAAAATGTGCACACACTGCACTGCATATGTGTTTTAGAAACCTGCCAAAGTATTTTTGCTGAAAATTTGTACAGGGTTTATGAAGAAAACAAAACTGAGCATGCTAGCAATATTTTGTTCAGCTCAAAGTGTCAGAACTCCAGTCTGCAGTATATATTGTATTTTTATACTAGCCCCAGGGTTTTGGTTTTTTTTAACCTTTTTTTTAAATGTGACTTTAATTTTTTAGTAACTAATTTTTTTAAACTTTTTTTTCCCACTTAACTTTATTGCTATCATATAAGGGGCCAAAAATTCCCCTATGTGATAGCCAATTTACACAGACAGGTCCACTTTATGGAGACATCAGGGGTCTCTAAGACCCCTAATGTCACCTAGGGACCCCCAAAGAAGCTGATGAAACAGAGATCTACTTCACCAGCTTCTCTCCAGCTGCAGAAGCCAGAGAATGACAGCTGAAAGCGGAAGTAATGTAATACACATCACTTCCTGCATTCAGAGAACGGAGGAGAGATCAGAGGGAGATCATGTGATAATCTCCCTCTGATCTCCGGTGACAGAGATCACCAATAATTTTCCTTTATACTGGATTTTTAAATAACAAGCTGGATAATTAAAGTGATATTAAGGTTAAAAGGTTTTATAGCTATTTCAAATTCTGATTAAATCACTCATAATGGATGTTGCTCTGTGATATTTAAAAGTTTTAGTTTCCCGCAGAATTAGCTGGTCCCCTGAGCACTGTCCCTGATATCCTTTTTTAGGGAGTCTCCTTTCCCTTGCAGGGTCCTATGGAGTGAACCTTGTGTGTGCTAGTAAGCTGTGTGTGTCTCCACAAACACACAGCAAGGCAAACCTCTCCCCTGCTGCCTGCTTCTCCCTCTCCCCTTCTATGATGGGCTTTGTAATACTACTTTAAGATATACAATTAAAGTTTTAGTGCAGAATAACACTTCTGGTAATTTAATAATACCTTATTATAGATATCTGTATGTCAGACCAAAAAGAGGGACAACTGAGAAGGAAAAATGGACAGAGGGATTAGGTTCTGAAACAGGGACAGCTGAGAAGTATGCACATGTTTACAGTGCAGATAAAACTGCATGGAACAAGACACTAATACAAGCTTCCCTTCCATACTCCCTACTGCTTCTGTATAAGTGACATTATCATCTAATACCACAAGAAACTTAGCAATTCTGTTCTTCCCACTAAGAATCAATATCACATGCACACAGAGAGCAATGCAACACCAATTTTTTTGCTGGTTACAGCAGGGATCCCAACCTGGAAAAAGTCATTTCAGGGAGGTGCCCTCATGCTTGGGGGGGTGAAATTATAATGCTTCCTGTGCTATCTGCTGGGTTTTTTTTTTTTTTAGTATTCTAAAAGCTGCTGCCGTCAGAATAAAAAAAAAAAAAAAGACGGCATAGGAATGAAAATCTAGATTGCTATTGGCTATTTGAACTTGCAATAGCCAATGGCAAGCTGCCTATTGCACCCGCCCTCTGCTGCTGTCAATCAGCAGAGAGAGGACCTGATGGAGAACTTCAGGTCCACCTCTGCTGATTGACAACAGCAGTGGGCGGGTGCAATAGCTAGTAATTCAAATAGCCAATAGCAATCTAGCTACTCATTTCTATGCCACCTTTTTTTTACTCTGACGCCGGCTGGCGGCTCCGATATCAGAGTTTTAAAAAAAAAAACAGATAGCAGGGAAATGTTTACTCTGCAGAAAAAACCTTTCCGGGAGAAAATGTTTCTCTCCCGGGCGGCCGGGAGAGTTGGGATGTCCGTTACAGGCAGCAAGGAGGGTGTTCCAGCAAAGCCAGCAGGCATGTTCCAGAAACATTAGATCAGACTAAAGCAGGGGTAAGCAAACGCCTGCCCTCAGGTTATGGCGAAAACTACAAATCCCATGATGCATCTGTATCTGGGAGTCATGCCTGTTGCTGTCAGAATCTTTCAATGCTTGATGGGATTTGCAGTAACACAACAATTGGTGGGCCAGAGTTTGCACACCCCTGGACTAAAGTGTTTGGAGTGGACTGGTGCATTATATCAAACAATGTTAAGATGAAAAATTAAGAACTGAGCAGGCAGGCCTTGCTCCCTGTATGCACCTCAGAGTTAAAAATTATACTTACCAACAACAACTTTGAAGAATTTGGTCTGATTCATACAGTGAGCTGCAGTGAGGATAAACTGGCTGGACAGGATTGTTCCACCACAAAAAGGCTCATTTTCATCACTTATCAAGAGAGCCTATGGAGATATATATAGACACATTTTATAGAGATTATTTTGCCATTTTCCCCCCACAAAATGTATTTAAAATTTCATGGACTCATACTACAGTACTTCTTTTATCATTAGCATAACATAACTGTAAAGCAGAACTCAATCCAGAACTATAAACTCTAGATGCCCATCAGAGAAGATGCTTTAAAAAAAATAGCATTTTTTTAATTGTAACACTGCATAATGTAACAAATAAAGCAAATTAAATGAGAAAAATATTTAAATATTAATAGTAAAGAATAACATTACAAAACATCATTAGAAAAATAATAGCGAAGAGGATCAGGGTAGGAAGGAGTATTTGGGACTCATTAGGATTAACTAAGGGTTAAAAAGGGGTACATTTGATTTAAAAATAATTTGTTTTTACTTGTAAGGTTGTCTTAACTGAAAGGCCATTCCATTGTTCTACACATGGCAGAAACTTAATAAATACAATGTAACAAGCATATTTCTTAGTGATCCTTGAATTATCTGAAAATGTCCTGTGCCCCCCCCCCCCTGTGTGTCCAGCATTGGGTCATGGAGCTCTGCTAACCATTCAATCTGCTAGTGATTCCCCTGCTTCCTGTCAGCTCACCTTCTCCTGGACCGCGTTATGAGTGTTTCACAGGACAGCGCGGGTCCTGCACAGTTCTCCCGGCTCGTCTGTCAGCTGGTGATGGGGCGGGGAGATATCCTCTGTTATGCCTGTCTGAGTGGCCGCTCTGTGGTCCTGATAAACAGAGCTCTCAGAGCAGGCCATTGAGCATAGCGAACCGGCCCGAACACAATCATGTTGATTGTGTTCGGCCAGGCCCGGCCCACCAGGCAAGTGCCTGGTTTGCCCAATGGCCAGTCCGGCCCTGGTCATAATCACAGGAAAAAATATAGACACCGGCACTCCAAATAGCGAATCACTAGCCTCTTTATTGACGCATGAAACGTATGATGTATCATGAAAATTGATACATCAATAGCTAGGGTTAGCAATACATATTGGTGTATCGTGCTATGTTTCATGCGTCAATAAACAGACGCTATTGATTCACTATTTGGAGTACCAGTGTCTATATTTTTTCCTGTGTTGTAAAGTAGCCACCACTCCAAGCTGGCTCCCATGATGGACTACAATCTCATGTTTAGTTTACTAATTTGTATTGAGATTGTAGTCCATCCCGGAAGTGAGCTTGGAGCGGTGGCTACGTCACAACACACACAGTGACCATTGGAAACAAAAGCAGTCACCCTCCAGAAGGAAGGACAGTGTCAGCACCAATTCAGAGATGATTTGAGGATCTACAGCCAAGTGATACACAAATAATCTACATTATTTGTAGATATAATGTATCTGTATAGTGAAGGTAAATAGACATTTAAAGGAGAACTATGGGGTCAGTGCTTTTCCCCATAGTTCTCCTCAGGGTCATGGGAGGACATAAACCAGCGTCCTACCGTAACCCAAAGCTCAGTATACTGCAAGCTACAGCTCGCAGTATATTGAGACCGCCGCAGCCGGGACGGATCCCGACATTACTGTTGAGATCCACACCCAGCTGCGTGATTGACAGCTGGCCCTGCCTATTTAGAGGCAGAGCCAGAGCCAGCTGTAGCCGACCCTCCCCCCGTTCGTTCCTCCAGTCAGCGCTGGAGGATCGGACAGGGGAGGATCGAACTATGAGGTTGAGTGAAAATCACTCACCCCATAGTTCTCCTTTAAGGCAATTTTTCAGTTCCAACCTTGTGGCAACAGTTCACGAAAGGCCCTTTGCTATTACATCATGAATGTGCCCCTGTGCACAACGCCATGTCCATAAAGCCATTATGGGAAGAGTTTGGTGGAGGAACAATGCAATGGAGCACTTATTGTGAGACATAACTTCTTGTACAACATTGGTACCTGACTTTACAAATGCTCTTTTGCCTGAATGGGCACAAAGTCCCCCAGGCACACTTGAAAACATTTGGCCATATGGTGTATGATAGTGTATGACGGGAGATGAGAGGTCTACCCACACTCTAAAATCACTCAAACTGCACATCCATCAAAAATGTTTTCCTGATTTGAGAGACATTGAAAGGATAGTTCCCTTCTATTTGGTGGTGAGAAATCATCACAGATAACACATTTCTAGCAGGTTGAAAAATCTGTGCATGGGATAAAAGCATTCCTGTTGCTATCACGGATTGTTACTTTTTAACTTCGGCACAGACAACTATTACCTACTTGCAGTCAAAAACTAAGTGACATTAAACCCTGAGATTTTTTAACATAAAACAATACTGTAATGTGCACCTTACTGCAATGCATGGTTGTTTCCCTTCTCTTTGCTGCTCTTCCTTTTAAATCTGTATCTCATCTCATGCTGGGCAGAACTTCTGTTTTGCAGCAGACTGCCTTGTCTCTGGAATGGATACATGGTGTCTGTGTGTAGGTTTGCAACCTGAACCAGCACTACAGGAAGAGGCAGTCAGCTGCAAAGGGAAGTTCTCCCCCAGCATGAGAAGACATGAGGATTAAAAAGGAAGAGCAGCAAAGAGAAGGGAAACAACCATGGATTACAGTAAGGCACACATTACAGTATTGGTTTATGTTAAAAAATCTGAGGGTTTAATGTCACTTTAAACACTAAAGGAAAGCTCCATCTTCATGCCTGTCTTCTATCATGTTCTCCTTTTTACAATTCTACAATCTCTTTAGGGTTCCTTCACTTAACAGTGCTGAAAAAAACACGTAAAAGAAGATACATGGTTTTTAAAGTGTACAATTAGTGCAGTGATAAGGTTCCTAGAAAAAGGCTTATCACTGCAGTCTTTGTAAAGCACAAGCTGTTGCATACTTTTAGTGAACTCGGTCACAGGGCACTGCACTAGGTCTATCCAACTCTGTTGATTGTTTGTTTTTGTTTTTTTAAACTGGGTGCATTCCTAAATGCTCAGGAGATAACTGAATATTAATATTTATAAGTAATAACACCCAAGACTATAGATTCAAGGAATAGCCTATTGTGTCACAGGACCCGCCCCCTCACTGTGAAGCTCGTCGGCAGTGCTGGGCCCCGGTGTTCGAACACTGGGACCGTGCACCGCCATATATTGCATGACCGGACCGCACTGAGACTGTGCGGCACGGTACCATTTGATCCGCGGATCGGTACCGGTCCACGGACCGGGGGTTGGGGAACACTGCCTTAGGGGATCAGGAAGGGATTTTATTTTCTCTATGTTGGAGCTAATTGGACTATGCTTTATAAATGGGTTTTTGTTGCCTTCCTCTGGATTAACTGTGGGTATAGGGTTCTATGAAAGCAGGTTTTTATTTATTTATTCATTTATATATTTATTTTTCTATTGGTTGAACTAGAAATACTTGGGTCTTTTTTTTCAACCTGGCTAACCATATAACTAATGCTGATATCTGAACTGTTTGTTTACTATGGTGAAATACAGTGATCCCAGCTACCTGTGGTGTTCAGGTGCAGTATACTGGACTGCAGCACTGATTTGTGAATGAGCCCTTACTGTAAGATTTTGATCATGTTAGATGAATTCTTTCATTTACACATAAGTTAAGTTACTTCCTTCAGTTCTAGCATGATGGGGAGGCAAAAGAAGGCTCTCCCCTACAAAACTAATTATGGCCCCCAATACATATCCTTCATATAGCATTTCCTATTTTGACTTCCATTATGGTGCTCATTTATTACAGATATTTATACTTTTCAGAGGTCCGATATTGTTCTATGTACAATCCTTGTTTTATTGATTGCATGTAATATTCTAATTTTCTGAGATTGTGGATTTGGGGTTTGCTGTAAGCCATAATCATCACAATTATGACAAATCACGGCCTGTACTATCTTGCTTTGCATGTAATGAGTCTATCTCATATATTAGTTTCACCTTTTAAGTTGCATTAGTGAAATACATGAACTTTTGCACGATATACTAATTATTCGAGTTTCACCTGTACAATGGAGTTGATTTTCTAAAGGCAAATAGACTGTTCACTTTGCAAGGGTATTTGCATTTTGCATAGGAAGTTTCACCTTAGTTTAATGAATGAGGTGAACGGCTGCTGACTTCCAATCATGTGCAAGCAAAAATACTGTTTTTATTTTATTTTCCTTGCACATGATTGGGTATTCTTTGCAAAGTAAAATTTCACCACATTCACCAAGCTAAACTTCACTTGCAAAGTGTAGATTTCCTTACAATGTGAGCAGCCTTTTTGCCATTAGTAAATTAACCCCAGTGTCCCCCACCCATCTCTGGTTAGTTTCTGGCACTGGCCCTGCTTGCCTTGCCACAAATGTGTTTCTCTGAGTGACAGTAAAAGACAAAGCCGGGCAATACTAAAGAAACCTTGGTGGTGTAAAATAGTTATGCAGTTACTAACCAAAAACAAGCTCCCAACTGACTGCATTCTACAGAGCAAAAGAGGGCAAAGTGTGGGAATCTTTCTAATTAGGGATGCACCGATACCGATACTAGTATCGATATCGGTGCCGATTCCGAGTATTTGGGCAAGTAGTGGAAAAAAATTATCGGTACTCGTACTCGGTACCAAAATACCGGTATCGGTGCATCCCTATTTCTAATTTTAGTAAAACTTAAACAATAAAGTAAACAGATATATGCATAAATGATATGTTATGTATATATTCTGGCAACTTACTCAAAGATTTAATATGTTGAAAGTTTTACCTGCCATGGACATTCACCACGTTTGCAATCTCTTCCACCCACAATTCTTCCATTTGAGTCATACTCCAGATCAATTTCAGAAGAGGCAGCTGTTTCTTTTTGGTTGCTGCTGTTTGGTGATGTAGAGTCAGTAGGATTCACAGTATTGTTTACTTTAGGAGCACCATCCTTTTCCACTTCCTCAGAGACTGACCTCTTGGATCTCAATGCTGCTGCTCTCTTCCCACAGGGATAGCTCTCTAAATCACAAAAACAACGTTTATAGTAGCTGGGTATTGCATATTAAGAAAAGAGGGAATGGCCCTCCAAAATGTAAAATATTAATTATAAAAGTCAGTTCACTGTTTTTTTTACGGGATGTGCTGCTTAAATTGGAATTTTAAATGCTAGTAGAAAACAATGAAATAATTAGTGCAAGGTCAGTAGGTATTCAGCACTGGAGCCTGAAGGAAGTATCCACACTCACCTCGGTTTTACTAATTTACAGTTTGGAAAACTTAATAGCCAACTCAGCTCCTTCTATTAGTAATTTTAAGCATAGGTGGCAACTGTCAGCCATTGGTCCACAGGGTCATGGTTATAACCCATTTATCATAACAGTTCTTTTTACCCTAACAAAATATTGAGTCCACAAGACACAACCAGTCCGCCCATGTTGTTCATATGTGATATTCGCCCAGAACTCACCATAAGTGGATATAACCTATTTTTGACCGGGTGGGGAAAGGTTAGAATCCCACATTCTAATAAACCTTTTTGTCAGGGGCCCCATTGAGGAGATGGCCACTTGCTTTTTGTACCAATGAGAATGCTGTCACTAGGACAAGTATTGAAGGGAAATCCTCCAGAGATACAGACTGAATAAAAACACTTTTTAGTAGAGTGGAGGAAGGCTAACATCCTCTTGGTATTGATATTTTAGTACCCGTTTCATATTTCCTCTGACTTCATGTTCCCTGACAAAAAATCAATTAAAAAAAAAGTCTCGGTTGGACTTACACTTGAATTTCAACAGGAACTTTTGATTTTACTCAGTAGGACATTGTGAAGAACAGTGAGGATGTGCTGACTGCAGTGACCTATAGCATCCAGACCGGACTTTATGTCATTGCATCAGATGATCTATAAGATTATTGCTGATTAGTTGACATGCACAATAATCCCTTCACCCAGTTTTATAGTGTGCACTTTTTTATTGAATAAACTAAACTTAGTTAACTACACCAGCAGAATGGTGTAATGAGGTAATGCGCTGGACAGGGTGGATGAATAATGAAGTAACGGCAAGTCCAATGTGAATTTGACTAACTATTACTAGCTACAGTATACCATGACCTAGCTCAATGAGAACCTCTACAGACACACTGGACAGAATGAAATCACCTTCCAGCAGATTTTTGTGCTGCAGCTATAGAATACTTTGAATTATCTGTGCTGGATAGGCTATGGCTGCACACTGAGCACGTATGTATGTAAGCAGACATGTCGTAACTCGTCTTATTTTAAAATACTTGATTCATCTTTCTTACCGCTTGAAACGCAGGATTTGCCATCATCTGCTAGGCTGTATCCAGTGGTACACGAACAGACCACCTCTTTATTTTCCACTTTGCAGTATTGTTCACAGCCACCATTATTTAGGCTGCACATTTTTAGGATAACTACAAAAAAGCATCATACACATTAGTGTGGACTTTGGTAACATCTACTTTTTTTTTTCTTTTATGTCCTTTTTCATATAGCTGCTACTATACTGAATTGTAGCCATGTAGAAAATGTCATGTAATGTATCTGAGCTAGTGTTTTGTTTTTTCTCAAAATGTCATTTCAGATTGAAAATAGTGGCCCTGGTCATGAGAGGATATTCAGCATAACACTCTGGACACTCAACAATGCCCACTACATGGTCTGTAAGTGTGATGTTGCTACAGATGAGTAATGAGGGTATGGCAGTGACTAGACTGTTTTGAGTCAGAGGGGTTTCTGCAAAGAGTGGCCACAGACAATATCTACTACTCCACATGGGCTTTCAGGTGGAGAAACTACATTTCAAAGCCTTTGTGTTCACACTGAAACGTTTTTTGCCCATAGTTCCCTTCAGGGTCATGCTAGGACATATACTAATGTCCTCCAGTGACCCACAACTCAGCATATAGAGGGCTATTGCCAGCTATAGGCTAAGAGCGTAGAGCTGTGCAGCAGCCGGGATGGATCCCGACAATACTATCGAGATCCACCCGACTGGCTGATTGACAGCTGGTTCTGCCTCTCTAAAGGCAGAGGCAGCTGTGCCCGCCCCTCCCCCCCGTCCTTTCCTACAGTCAGTGCTGGAGAAACAGAGAGGGGAGGGGGTAATCCCTGCAGGGAGCGGTGACTGACAGTCACCGCTCTATGCAGGGAGAGGATCGGGAAGTCAGTGATCAGCAGTATGTGTTTGCTCACTTCCTGATCAATAGAGCCAACTTGTGACAGCTTCAGTGTCACAGGTCGGCTTGAATTATGGGAATGAGTGTTTTTCACTCACCCCATAATTCTTCTTTAATACGTTTCACAACCTGAATGGGCATCATAAATATAACTTTCTTCTCTATATGTATGAGAAACATTGATATACTCTCATCGTACACCCCATCCACTTCTTTGGCTCCGGCCATGCCTATAACCTCACACAGTTGTCTCTTATTATTGGACAGAATGGTTGATTGCACACACAGGTTACTGCAACAGTTTTTGTTACTATGTTGCATATTGGACTTTTAACAACAAAAACATGGAAAAACCTCCTCTTGAAAGGCATTACCTCCTTAGATATAAAGTGATTGATAGGCTGACACTCGATTGAATCCATTATATATGAACTAGAGTAATTGCCTATTTGTACACCTGTACATCCATATAACAGCCATAAAGCATAAAGGTGCAGACATTTACCCTCAGACCTAGAATGAATAGTCAGTGGATACCACCAGGGTCAGATTTATTTATAACCAACATAGGTTGTGGCCTAGGGCAGCAAAGCTGCTTGGGGCATAACACAAGCATCTTGTTGGTGACTGGAACCATACACTTAGAGCCAAACTGGTAACAGAACAGTTTGCCCTGGTCTTCTAGTCATTGTCTCTAAGTGTACAAACCTAAACTTCTCTATTCCGGTAGGCCTTGTGTGTCTATTACGTCTGCTCTTGTTAGTGTCTTATTAAGACAATTCAGTCAACTGGGGTAAAAGAGAGAGGGGGTGGTTGGAACAAGACATTTGAACTGGGGGGGATGATGGGGAGAGGATACATACATCTGGACCTGGATACTATGGATATCTTTCAGTAGAGATGAACAGCATTGAACACAAAAATAATGTGCCCCTAATAAAGGCAACAGTAGCTTCCCATTGCTTACTTTATAAAGACTTACCTGTTTCACATTTTTTGCCCTCAAAGCCCGCAATGCAGAGACATGTGAATTCATTAATTCCATCTTTGCACGACCCACCATAAGAACAAGGATTAGGATCACACTGGTCTCCATCTATAGTACATGAATATATAAATTAGTTGTGTAACAGCTTTGCAACCATTTAAATGACCTTACTTTTCTTTAATATAGATACGCAATACAGCTTGGTGACCTCTCAAAATCCAGCTAGTTGACTTGAAAATGAAAGGTCATCAATATATGGATGAGGTTATTTCTATACTTTCCTTTCCTGTAAGTAAGCTCCTACTACCTGATAGGATGTTAGACTTACAACCCCGAGCAATGTAGAAGGGGGTGCGGTCCTGGCACAGCAGTGACAAAAGGAATGGTTGTAGGTGCAATTTTGATTGGTGCCTCCGCAAGCAGCTTTCGGCTTTAACTCCAGATGCAGTCCTCCTGGCCAGCAGCAGAGGTTTGGCATGGGAGGGTTGCTTGGAGATGTAAAGCTGGCTATACACTGGTAGCTTTTCATACGATCATTTATACGAAAAATCTCATCAGAACATTTGATAATGCCTTGAGAGACTTGTAGAATGTCCTTCGAAATTAGTTTTGATTTTTCCATTCATTTTTGGAATGAATGGAGTTACATGAACGAAAACCACATTACCTGTCAGACTTACTTTCTACTTTCTAAGAAAAAATTTGATTTGATACTATAAACTAATGTAAAAAAAAAAACAGTTTTTTTTCAAATACATTTTTACTGGCATATCGCCAGTTTAAGCTGCCAGGCTGGCAATTACAGTACCTATGAAAGCAGCAGCTCAAGCAGGGAGGTGGTATGAGCTGATGGGGCCAGAAATTAGAAGGTCCCATTGAAATACAGACCCACCTGCTGCAAGGATCATTCTGAATGTGCTTCCCACTGTGTATGGCTGATATCAATTGCCCTGGTCGATGTTGAAATGTTGATACTACTACCTTAAATGTGTAGTAGTGACACAATGTAATTGCCTTTCTGCCCCTTCATGCCACTACTGTTCATGTGCCAGGTGTTTGTGCCATTTTGGCTTAAACCAAAGACTCTACACTTCCCCCAAAGTAGACTTGGCATTCAGTGATAGTCTCCCATCACTAATGACATATTTGTGGTTCCTGCATGTCACATGATCTACTGAAAAGGGCTGCAAATGGGAAACTTCCTGTGCCGGAGTTGATTGCTGGTATGTGCAAGGATTGCTTAAGATTAGAGGAGATCAACAGCACTGTCACTAAATGCTGGGTCCAGGTACCTATTTTTATACATGTGCTATAGAACCCCATAGACTTATATGGGGCTGGGTGACAGATCAGTCTTCTGACCTTATAGAAGTCTATGGGACTCTACTGCACACATGCAGGCTGTGGGAAGTGAAAGGTACATTGGGTCAGGTAAACATTGTGGCAGAACGCCGGTTGACTGGATGCCAGAATTGTACTGTACTTTGACTATACAGCGGAAGAGGGGTAGGGCGGGTTAGATTAGCGCGGTGGGGGTGAGAAAACATCTCCTTTTTGTCTGTTTTTGCTGAGTTCAAAATGTTGGGGTGCGCAGGGTTGAACTGGCCCACCAGAGGACTGGCAGATCCTGCAATGGCCTTCACAACTTAGCTCTAACACAGAGAACTCATTATATAGAATGGAGCCAACCAGGCACAGTAGCACTGTGACCACTGCTGCACTGCCTATCAACTACCCCTGTCCAGCCCTCTGCCATCTGTGCCCACCTAATTTAAGTATTGCAGAGCAGTACTCAGAGGCCGGGGAGAGGACCAATGGAAGCACTGTGGCCTGTAGAGTAGGCACAGGCGAGGAGGTGGCAGGACACATGACTGCTGAACCAATTCTAGCTGTTGTAGAACTATTGTGGGGAGTACTTGGAAGAGTTCTGGTTGACTTTTTATATTGCTGTTTAGGGGTTAAGTCTGGGACTGACTGGGTAAATTTCAGCCTGTAATTTGCTGGGTGGGGGAGTGGGGTGAGTGGCGGTTTATTTTAATAGTTGAAAGCAGGGCGAAGACCAAAGTGTGAACAATTCTGCTGGTGGGGAAGGCATATTCAGATATTTTCGAATTCCTTTGACTGACAAAAAAGTTAGATATGGTAAAATATATGCAGATCCCCCTAACCGTCCCAGATAAAAATCTAGAATCTCATTGACCCAGTCTATGTGGTTGTAAAACTCTGTCTGTGGCATAGTAATTCAGTAATTTGTAGGTAGAAGGACTGTATATGTGTGCGTAATGTGAGTGGGATAAGCCACTATTTAAAGGAGAACTATGATGTGAGTGCTTTTCACTCACCTCATAGTTCTAGCCGACCTGTGACAATGAGACTGTCACAGGTCGGCTCAGTAGATCGGGAGGTGCTCGAACACATACCGGGTTCGCTCACCTCTCGATCCTGTCACGGCTCTCTGCCGTGACAGGGGGAGGGGCTGGATTCCCCTCTCCCCGCTCCGATCTGCCAGCGCTGACTGGCGGAACAGACGGGGGAGGGGGCGGGTACAGCTGGCTCTGCCTCTAGATAGGCAGAGCCAGCTGTCACTCACGCAGCTGAGCGGATCCCGTCATCTACGTCGGGATCCGCTCCGGCTGCAGCGTCTCAGTATACCGCGAGCTGTAGCTCGCGGTATACTGAGCTTAGGGTAACGGGAGGACGCTAGTTTGTGTCTCCACCCTAAGGAGAACTATGGGGAAAAACACTGACCCCATAGTTCTCCTTTAACCAGAGCTTTTAAGCCACATCCTGTATTCAGCACAAGGCAACCACAGCCACTGTAACTGCTTTTTTCTCTATACTTAGCTATCTGAGTGTATAGCATGTGGCTCCCTAGATGTTCCTCCAGTAGATATACTAGCTACCCAACACTGAATGCAATAATGCACTGATCCAATGACCATCCTTTTAGGAGGAGTTTTTTTTCCGGTTATTGTACTAAACATCAAAAATGGCCTTACCAACATATTTGTTCCAGAATTCTCGCTGTTAAGGAAAAATTAAACACATGGAGTGTTAATAAAATAAAGATTAAACAAAACATGAAAAATTCACATAACTACATCAATGAAAAGTTAAACAATGAAGTCTAAGGAAAAAAGAAGGAAATAATGATACCACAGATGTTGCCACAGAAGCAGGGCCGTCTTTAACGCAGGGCAAAGAGGGCACTTGCCCAGGGCCCTGTCATGGTTGTGGGGCCCAAAGCAGCTGCCCCTTGAGCCCGCTGCCCGCTGCGGTCGTACCATAGAATCAGCACAGGAAAAAAACCCCTTCCTGCATGTGGGCAGGGAGGTACCAAAACATAACATTGGATGGGGGGGTTGGGACGTACCAACTGTTCCATACGACTCGTACGGGACCGTTGGTACGTCCCAAACCCCCCATCCAATGTGATGTTTTGGTACCTTCCTGCCCACATGTAGGAAGGGTTTTTTTTCCTCAGGGGCAGCCGCGGAGCTCTCACAGCTGGAGGCTGAGCGGCAGAGCCTGTGTGTAGTCAAGTCACTGCACTGGTAAGGTAAGCCAGCAATGATCTGGAGCTGGGGGGGAAGGGAACAGCAGCAGCTGCTGAGTGAGATGAGTCTGGGGCTGGCTGGGGGGATAGCAGCAATTGAGGCTTGGTGTCTGGCCTGAGGCTGGGGGGGACAGCACAGCAGCTTAGTTTATATGGCCGACGTGGGGGGGGCTTTCTGCAGAGATCACCACAGTAAAAGCAAGCAGCTGGCCTGGTGTCCAAGACTGAATAGGGGCCCGACCCTGGGGTGAGGGTAGGGCAAGCCTTTGCAGAGGACAGCAGCTGTTCTCTGCAAAGGCTTCCCTCGCCCTCACCCCAGCGTCGGACCCCTATTCAGCCTTTGGCACCACCTGCTTGCTGCTACTGTGCTGATTCTGCACCAGCACAGTAGCAGCAAGCAGCTGGTGCCCAAGGCTGAATAATAGGGGCTCGACGCTGAGGTGGGGAGCCTTTGCAGAGGACAGCACTTCAGCATCGGGCCCCTATTATTCCTAGGGGCCCGACGCCCCTATGAATAATAGGGGCGCCTTGTTTGCCCTGTCGGAACAGCACATCACCTCGCTCGCAGTCAGGTAACGTTGTGAGCTCTCAGCCCTGCCGCTGTCAAACTGAGACTCTCAGTTTGACAGTGACAGGGCTGAGCGCTCATATGTTTCCTCGTTCGTCTGTACGGTCCATCCACTCGGTCTTCTGGAGCTCTGCCCACCAGCCAATGAGAAGAGACCTCACCCCTCCACCACACGAGGATCTCTGTCTGGGAGTTTGGAGTTTATCTTCAGCAGCAGATGGAGGCTATGTCGGCACGCTCCTGCCAGCTCCCGCCCCCGAGACACAGCCAGCACAGTAGTGGTGAGTGGCGGCATGGAGAGCCCTGAGGAGAGCGATGTGGAGAGCGCTGGTTTAACCAGGCCTCTGTGGGGTCTCACCAGGGCTCTGTGGGGTCTCACCAGCCCTGGTTAAACCCCACAGAGCCCTGTTGGGACCCTACAAAGTCCTGATGAGACCCTATAGAGCTCTGAAGGGCTCTTTTGGATTTCACCAGGGCTCTTTGGGATCTCACCAGGGCCCTGTGGGGTCTAACCAAGCTGGTTAGACCCTACAGAGCCCTGGCGAGACCCTACAGAGCCATGGTGAGACCCTACAGAGCCCTGGCTTAACCAGGGCTCTGTGGGGTTTTACCAGGCTCTGTGGTGTCTAACCAGTCCCCACAGAGCCCTGGTGAGACCCCACAGAGCCCTGGAGTTTCACCAGGACTAGTGAGGCCCCACATAGCCCTGGTGAGACCTCACAGAGCCCTAGTTTAACGAGGGCTCTTGGGGGTCTCACCAGGGTTCTCAGGGGTCTAACCAGGCTGGTGAGACCCCACAGAGCCCTGGTGAGACCCTACAGAGCCCTGGTTTATTCAGGGCTCTGTGGGGTCTCATCCGGACTCTTTGGGGGTCTCACCGGGTACCTGTGGGGTTTAACCAGGCTGGTGAGAGGCCTGAGTGGGGCCTCATGTTTAGGTTTCGCCTAAGGCCTCGCAAACTCTAGAGCCGCCTCTGATCACAGGAGTACCAAGCAGCTGGTGCCCAAGGTTGAAGAAGGGCCTGACGCTGGGGTAGGGGAAGCCTTTGCAGAGAACAGCAAAGCATCCCTTTTATCTCCCATATTCGATAAAATGCAAGCTTTTTGTAATGTACTGTATGTTGGAATGTCCTGAGTCTGGCTAAATACCGCACCGACCACCAGAGATCCCGCACTGACCACCTGAGAGTCATCCTGAGACCCTGGAGACATGATGCCGAAAGTGGCATTTACGGCAGATATGTTTCGGAAGCCGATATATCGGTGCATCCCTAATATAAACGGCTGAGCTTGCAATCGGTTTGAAATCCTGCAGTCAAAGTTTTTTTGAGAGAAGTCTATGTTGACCTTTGATCTGTCCCCTTGCCCTCACAAATCTTTCTACTGGTCAATGATAGAGTAGAAGAGCATATCTGACTGCAGGACAGGAAATCTATAACGCGCACCACACACTTTACAAACCTTTTGTACAATCTCCTTTAGATCTATCAACAACTATGTAGTGCTAGGGCCTACCTGACTGGGTACAGATTGATAGTTTGTGAAAGTCCCTATATTACATTGTTCCGTAAAACCAAAGTTGATTGTACAATGTGTGGTCAGATTGCAATGTTTATAGTGACATTAGGGGATTGAAATAACTGTGGTATAGCCAATTTATTTGGAACAACAAGACTGGTCTTATTGGCTTTTAAAAAAGGAACTGGAGTAAATAGTACGTTACTTCTCTCCAATTAAAGAACCAATATGGAGGCTTGGGACATGGTGTCTGGCTTTACTATAAGGACCTACTGAAACCTCTCCAGTCCGTGTGCAAATACAAGTGTGTTGGCATACAGCACAGAATACGCCTCCATTTGCGGAGGCCGGGATCACTAACTGCTGTGTTTTTTTGTCCATAGGAATGTATCAGCAGAAAACGCATATGCGCATGAATTCCAGTACTTGCATTTGCATGCCCTTGGGTGTAAGTGCACCCACAGACAGCATTACAACATTGCTGTCCGTGGGTGCACTTACCTCTCAGCAGAGATTAGGCCAGAACCGAAGGGATGCTGTACGGGCTATTCACTATAGCCCGTACAGCAGCCGAAGCCGGCCGAGCAGCTCAGTCGACCCGAAGGCATATGCTTCGGCTCAGAGGCGGGGTGACACCCGGTGCGGGTATCGCGTGACACCCCGCAGTGACGTAATCACGTAGGTGTGTGACGTCATCGCGCACACGCGTGATGACGTCACGCGCTGTACTGCTTTTACCTGCTGGCAGCCATCTTGGTGATGGACGCCGGCAGAGAAAGGAGGGGACGTTCACCCAGCGGATACGGTATGCCGCCGGGTCCCCTCCTCTCTCTCTCTCTCTCTCTCTCTCTCGAGCAACTGTCGGGCTCTCGGTCCTAGACCAAGTGCCCGACTCTACAGAGGGGTGACACTAAAATGACTGTCAGAGCTTCAGCTCAGCCGATCCAGTTGTTGGATCGGCTGAGTCACAGTCCTTCTAAAATCAGCCGTACTGAGCCAGAGTGAATAGCCGAACGCTCCCTTCGGCAGCTTTGTGAATAACCCTTTAAAATTCCACAGGATTTTCTGGAGATGCAACACCAGTATCTTAAAATTCTCTGCTAGGAGTGTCTACACTCCACACATGATGAGACTTTTGCATAACCAGTTAAATGGTTTATATTTCCCTGTAGTCTTTCGGGAAGTGCTTTAACACAGTAGCAAAGACTATGATGAAATGAAAGCAATCCTTACAGTTTTATCATCATTCTCAAAGATCTCCCGAGCTTCCTCGTAGCTGCAGGTTTCCTCACGGCACTCTCTTTCCAGATTTCCCTTTTTAAACTCTTCAAAACCTGAATTTGCACGCTTGAACCTCCCCAATACGCTGTGTGCCTTTTCATGCTTCACAAAAACTGCAAGTCAAGAATAACTGTTACTTCCATGTAGAGTCATGTAGATTCACAGGACTTAGAACACCAGTCAGGTTTTTATTGCTGTCATTGTCACCATTATGGAGATGTGTCCTCTCTATTTATCCTGGTGACCATTATCAGTGAAAGTGAAACAAAAATACCACATTTTGGGTTGTCATCAGAACAGGAATCGATGGGAACTTTGCCAATGCGGACACTAGTTCTGGTGACCCTCCTGACCACCAAGGATTTCCCTCACTTTGGAGGGATTTCCTCTCACTTCCTGTTGAGGCTATCAGAGTGGAAGTGAAGGGAAAGCTCCACAATTAGACGCAGATGGCAAAAAAACTGACAAGGGTTATGACTCTCCCTTTCTTTATCTAAAACTAAAAAAAGTTTGGGCTTCACTTTAAGATAAATTTGTGTGTAAAATGTAACCACTGTATAAAAAATATCACTGATCCCTAAACTGGTGGGGAGAGAAATATGGTAGCTGTCATTTCTGAGGTGTATTCAAGGGTGCAGTCTACAGTTGTGAATCTGATCCTGGTTTCACTATGCAATGAGTAACTGACCCGGAACAAGCATGCAGTACAGGAATTCAGATTTTTCAGACTTTACTGACTTTATTCCTGTTCCAGGTCAGTACCTCATTAGGTAGTGATGTCAGAATCAGGAACACGGAAGTGCCATGGGCCACCCACCCAAACACCAACGGGCTGGGGGCTTTTCCTACCATGCAGCTGCACATAAACAAAGGGTCTGGATGCATGTGATGATGTAATTGACCCTATGTAGCCACATGGCCATATTTGGTCAATAACATTGACCAAATATAGCCATGTGGCCACATAAGGTTAATGATGTTATGGCATCCCAACCCTTTGCTTCTGTGCAGCTGTGGGTGCAGAATACCCAGCCACAGCTGATTGGACAGCAATAGAAGGACTTCCTTCTGTGTTCGAAGGAGCTCAAGTTTGGACTAGGTGCATCTCTAAACAGGATGGCAGCCCTGGAGCCTGCACATTTCACAATAACTGTCATGCAAACAACAGATTGGCCAGAGAACTGTCACATGTCCAATTTAGTTTTCTTTTGAACGAAATTCGGACAGATCCAAATTTTTGTTAAAGGAACATTCGGATTAGTTCACATTCAGATGCGTTAGAATTCGGAAATTCGGATGCACCTAAATGTCCGTATTTAACGAAATTCATACGAATATGCATTCGGAGCAAAACGAGATTTCTAGTTTACTACATACATTATCACCATCAGAGAGGTTGGGAGAGATAAATACTGTATTTTTTTTTTAGATATATATGGATATATATAGATATAGATCTATATATATCTATATATAGATCTATATCTAGATCTATATATGTCTTTAGATTTAACAAAAGATCAATTTAAGTAAAATAATGAAGCATAATTTAATATTTGGCTTACTGTTTACTTACAAGTATCCTACTAAAGCTAGTTTTGTAAAAGTAGATATATTTAATCTGATTGGAAGGGTTTTCATTCTCGTAACTGATTATTAGCTATTGTATTATGCATTGCTCACAGACTTGTCCAATAAAAGATAATAGTGCATCACCTAGCAAATTACACATATCTGTAAGCTCTTTATATCTATTGAATCATGTACTGTATGCCTTTGTTATACTTTATTGTGAATAATATTGCTATTTATAGGTTTCATTACCACATGTATGGCTACATATGTTAAAGATTGGCTATCCCAATCCTTCTGACTATGTCAAGCATTAGACTTACAGGTGGCTTTTATGTTAAAGATTGGCTATCCCAATCCTTCTGACTATGTCAAGCATTAGACTTACAGGTGGCTTTTGTTTTATTCTTCTGACACATATTGCAGCAAAATTAGATAATGAAATTACATTTTCATTTCAAATATCAAATATCCATAGCGGTACTGTAACACGATGGAGAAATCTTCTGACTAACATTCTCTGCTTTTTATTGTAGAAGTAGAACACACTTGGGTTCTGACTAGACCATCGGACAATCATTTCTTTATCTGACTTTCACTGGATATGCAATGATCAGTGCTACCCATGCAGTAGGATGTAGACCCATCTCTGTTTAATTAGGAGAAATTACTTTCCACATCATTTTCAAATATCTTAATGGCTCTGCTGCAATTGTTTTATGTCCATCTATATCAGGTTTTTTTTCATGGTAAATGATTTAGAACATGTGCCAATTTGTACACACCGCTACTTCTCTTGTTAATATATACCATCAGAACACATTCCACACAACAAGTGATACTAAAGTGCTACCCAAGCCACCCAAGACATTCAAATAAGACATATTCTTCTTACCATTTTGTGGCTGTTCCAGGAGAACGACAGGTAGAAATGTTAGAATGATCAGGTATGTCTTTGCAGCCATGCTGTGATCTTATTTAATGCAATCTTTCTATTCCCTTTCTGTAGCTGATGTGACAATGAGAGTCACGAGTTCAAGCTGCAGCTTGCTAAGGGAAATTAGGAAATTCCTGCCCTGAGAACAAAATGCTGGAAAGAAAGTGGACAGTCCCCTTTGTTAAAGTCCCATCTCAATAGAAGCCATTTACAGCCTAAATGTTTTGTTTAGAAGATACCAATTGCAATAGAAAGGAAGGCACTGCACGGAGATGGCGATTTCTGAACAAAATGTGTTTGTTTGTATTATGCAACTTGTCCCTCTGCATTCAGACACCTTATATTTGCTCTGTCTATGTATTCAAAGGGCAAAGAACAGACAGAGCACTGACATATCGAATGGCTCATATCCAGATTATATTCAAAGTCATGCATGGTGATCAGTCCTAATTGATGTAGAAATCTTTGTTAAGTGAGTATTTAATGCAGTGATAATACACAATCATGAATTGTATTCCCTGCCTTTACTTACATTATACAACAAACACCAATAATATATTAATGAGTAATCAGTGAACAAATATGTGGAGTTTATTTAATAAAGGCTAATAGTTCACTTTGAAAGGGATTTTTCACTTAGCTTAGTGAATGTGAAGAAAATTACTTTGCAAAGAATACCTAATTGTGGACAAGGAAAATGTAAAAAAAAATGTAATTTGCTTGCAATTGATTGGATGATGGAAGTCGTCTTCCAAATGAACAGCCTATTTGCCGTTAGTAAATTAACCCCTATATGACTGAATAATACTATAGACTGTAAATACTCTGTAAATACATGTAAAATGTCAGCACTATATCTACAAATAAATAAAACTTTCTGTCGCTTTGAAGGAATAGTCTACTTAATAGTCATATACTAGGTATAGGTGGAGCCTGATGGGCTGAGTCAGGTCCTGGTTTCTTATATAGGATACTCCAACACTGACATTCTCCTATCATTAATTCTAATTCCTATCATCCTGGTTTTGTAGGGGTTTCCACTCCCTTTGCATGTTTCTACTCCTCTTGTTGCATCCTCAGTAATATAAAATAAACGCAAATCCTCAAAGAGGAGCAGGAACTTCTCATAATGTTCAAAGACTCAGGAACTCAAATCAAGTTCTTAATAGACATAAGAAATGATACCTCCCAACTGTCCCTCATTTGTAACCTCTGTCCCTCTTTCCTACGCAGCTGACTTTTTGTACTATTTAACTACCAAAAGTGTAATTTCACACTAAGATCTTCATCATATCTCTTAAATATCTTGCTTGCTATAAAAAAACCAGTATAAAGGATAAGTTACGGCAGAAAACAACAATTCTGGGTTTAGCCAATCATTTTTGGCATATACATTTTTAATGGTCCACATAACTGGTGGTGGGTCCATTACCTAAATACATTGAAGGGAATTTATCATAACTGGAGCAGACAAAATCTGGAGCAGCTGTGCATAGCAACCAATCAGCTTCTCTCTTTCATTTTCAAATCTTAGCTGAACAAACTAAAGAGAGAAGCTGATTGGTTGCTATGCACAGCTGCTCCTGTTTTTGTCTTTTCCAGTTTTGATAAGTTCCCCCCATTGTGCTGGAGGTTGTACCTCTTTCTCATCTCAAAAAGTTGGGAGGTGTGAAAAAAATGTTAGGTGATTCCTGAGGAATAAAAAAAACTGTTAATCTGTTTATTTATTATAGGTATTTAGATAGTGCTGACAATTTACATAGTTGCACATGCACATCAGTCCCTACCCTCAAGGAGCTTACAATCTAAGGTCCCTATCCCACATGAATACATAGAGGGCCAACTTAGACAGGAGCCAATTAACCTTCCAGCATGTCTTTGGAGTGTGGGAGGAAACCAGAGTACCCGGAGGAAACCCATGCAATCACAGGGAGAACATGCAAACTTCTTGCAGATAATGCAAGGCAGAAGCGCTAACCACTACGCCACTACTCCAACATCTGCCTAACACTAAAATACCAGCTTTGGTTGAACTGGCCCTTTTATTTTGGGGCTGACAACTCAGATACTCCCGAAAATATATACAAGAGTCAACTTCTAATAAGATACCACAAGATCTGAATACCTCTGCCATGAACATAGTTGTTCTAAAACGAATAATCTGTTATATGTTATGTTTGATGGTTTTAGTACGATGGCTTTATGGACATTTGTTAGGCTAATGATGAACACCCTAAAATGTAAAAGTCAGGATCAGACTTACTGTAATTTGTTCTTGTTCTGACCTCTTCAATAATGATAATAATCATTGTTTATATACTGTATTTTTCTGATGGGAACATATGTCTCTGTTGGCTATTCTCAGAAGTGTGGTCATAACGTCCAGGAAGAAGAAATGTGTGTGCAGGGAAATGAGATAAGCCTGAACGAACATTTCCTGAAAACCCGTGTTATTCGCTTTGCTGTTGGAGCACAGAAAGGCAAAACGAAACACAATTTCTGTTTTTCGCCTGAGGACCTGCTAAACAACGTATCCATTGCACTGTTAAACCACTTTTCCATTACTTCTTACCATGTTTGTTTAAAGGTAAAGTCCACCTTTTACATAATTAATAAAAGCACACATATTCATAAAAGAAAAAAGAAAAAATATTATTATTTTGCATTGGAGCCTGTATAGTATGTGCATTGTGGGTGCATGACTAAGGTAGGGACATTCAGTAACAGGGATGGGAGGAAATATGAATGCGCTACAAGTGCGGTGACATCACTGCACTTGCACTCCACTAAGAACAACAAGTCCCTCTGCAGCGGCGGCCGATGGGATTTGTAGTTTCTCTGTTTAAAGATCCCATCAATGGATCTTTGAATGGATGATGTGGTTGTATGGACCGAGCCACACACAGCCCTACTAGATTAAAAAACCACAGCAGTCTGCAGGGAGAAGAAACACTCAATTCAGATATGGCGGGGAGGGTGGTTTTAATATGTGACCATGTTTAACGTTACACCTTGAATATGGGTGTAACAACAAGAAAAGGTAAACTTAGCCCGGTAAACTCTTTATTGCCAACGGCGTATGCCATACGTCACTGGCAACAGGACCCAAACAGACTTCAGGAACAATGTCCAGCAGTGTAAAGCCAACATTTGACTTTTCACTGGAAGTGATTCTAGTGGCTGAGCTGCTGCCTGTTTGCCTCCAGGAGCCGGTGAAGAGTGCCTTCCCCCAGTTGACAACCCCACCTTGCTTCCTGGGCTCTGCTGCCCTTCCTGCAGGCCCAGCATCACGGGTTTCAGCAGGTAGAGGGGAGAGAAAACGGCGAACATCAGAATTCCCGCTGGTCCCAATCAAGACAGTCAGGTCTCCAAGCCCTGTGACAGCTTTCCAAGGCCTCCTTCCCCTTGCATGACAGTGTCTTGTATATGACCGATAAGGATTTATCTAGCCCCTCAGTGCGTAGCAAGGACTCCTTTCTAGAGATGGAGAGGGTCAGCCTGCACCTAGGGAACTGCGTATGGAAGGCATGACGTAACTGTAGGTACCTGAAAAAGTGGCCATTTGTCAGTGAGTGAGTGGACCGAAGGTCCTGAAATGAGCGTAACTCTCCCCCATGTATAACATCGCTTATTGTAAGGATCTTCTTAGAGGTCCACACCACAGGGTCTAGAATGGTCGAGAAATGATTAAGGCGAGGGTTTCTCCACAATGGTGTGTGTGGGGAGAGGGACATCATAGGCTCTACCACCAGGCCCTCCACTGCATTCCAAGCCTTAATCACCACTCTCATGAAGGGTATCTGACGATGCGGGGAGTGTCTGCCCCTATATACCAGATGCCCCAGGGCTTCAAATGATCCCACCAAGGCAGCCTCCAGAGTGACAGCAGGGTTCGATTCACGCACCGTGAGCCATCTGTGAGCAACCATTAGCTGACCTGCCAGGAAATAGTAGTAGATGCTAGGGGCCGCTAACCCACCCTCCCCCATGGTAGTTGAAGGATTGACAATTTAATCCTACGTGCCTTCCCATTCCAGAGGAACTCTGACACCAAAGCATCAATGGTCCTAAAAATCAGTTTCGGTATCCACACCGGGGAGTTACGCAAAGTATATAGGAGCAGTGGCACCAGTTTCATTTTAAACAGGTTAACACGGCCAATCGCAGTTAGGGGCAGATTTTTCCAGACTAAGAGCCGGGCCTTAAACTGGGCTATCACTGGGGAGACATTAAGCGCCACAAAATCTTATATATAGTTGGAGATAGTCAGATCCATATACTTAATCCTGGCGACCTGTTGGAACTGGGTAGTAGATACTCTTGAGGCGTGATCCAATGGGTCTAAGGGAAGGTATTGAGATTTAGCCCAATTAACAGACAGCTCCGAGCAGGTAGCGAATCTCCGCAAAATACCAAGTGATTCTACTAGCGATTGTTGCATGTCAGCTAGAAACAAAAGCATATCATCGGCATATAAAGCCACTTTTTCCTCCAGCCCACCCACTCTAAGACCCCGGATCCACGTGGACTGTCGGAGGGCAGATGCAATGGGTTCTATCGCCAAGGCAAACAATCCGGGGGATAATGGGCATCCCTGCCGTGTGCCCCTAAGGATCGGAAAACTTGAGGACAGGATCCCCCCCATCTTTATGGCGGCTCTCGGCTGGCTATACAATACAGCGATCCACTTGCGGAAGACAGGGCCAAATACCAATTTTATCAGAACCGCTTGCAAATACCTCCAGTCTTCCGATTCAAAGGCCTTCTCGAGGTCCAGGGAGACGATAGCTCTGGCTCCCGGGCTATCATGTATAATTTGGGTGTGCGTGAATAATCTTCTAAGATTAATGTCCGTAGACTTTTGGGGAATAAATCCGGTTTGGTCAGGGGCGACAACACTGGCAATGACCCTGGACAGTCTAGTGGCAAGAATTTTTGTAAGAATCTTAAGATCCATGTTAAGCGGCTGTATTTTGATTTATGGACCAGAAGGTAGACAGGTGAGGCCGCAGCGATGCTTCCACCGTATCATTAGACAGCCAGTCCTGTGACAGCCGCCACGAGTGCGG